GTATTGTAAAATAATATAAAAAAAATTTTCATCAATTGTGTAACGATTTTGTGACGTATCAACGGTTCCTCCTGTTCAGCAAAATCTGTAGTACTAGTACATTACATATTTCATCAAACTGATACTCGCTAATAATTCATTCGTTGTAAATTTACTAAAGCTTAACTTCCACGGTAAGTTGTATAAGAGAAAGGTGCAATTAGTAAGGGAACGTGATAATGTTGTGTAGGATCCTTTATTTGAAAAACGACCTTTAGCATAAGTCAATTAATAGAAATAATGATTTAGTAACAATTAATAAATTTCGTTTTCCCACTAATAAACAATTTATGTACCTGAACAAAGGGATAAAATGATTCTTCTCCGAAACTTTTAAAATAAGGTGTAGTAAAAAAAGTAAGACGATAAATTGCCTTGTAATCATCTTCAGATTTGATCAATTGTATTCGGTAATCGGGGGAAACCAAATCTGAACATCTTCCGTCTTCGTTCGTTTTTCTGAATTTATATCAAAACTAATAAATATGCAATTGACTAGATATCGAATAAGAATTTATTTAATTCGATATAATTACGTTTTACTAACGGTAATCCATTCTTTATCAACGTTATTTTGTTGACATTCCAACAAAACCTCGATATTTTTGCCAGGAAGACCGCGTGATGAGTCGAGTACGTGGCAGGTTATGGGACCACGTTTCTGTGTAGTTGTATTTGACATTATTACTTAAAAACCGCTTTATATTTGAGCGTCGCAAACTTAAAACCAGTTTCAGGTTTTAATTTGGCAGCATTACCTTATAACGATAAAAATCACATGAAATTAAATCAATCTTATCATGTGATTTTATTACTTAATCGGCTAACCGTCTAGGCCGATTTTTATAATGTCGACTTAGTTAAGAACCCAACTAACATTAGACTCCTAATAAAAAAGTTACCTTCACAACGAGAACTTTCAACTAATCACCTCAATGCGAAATGCTTCGGCTTCCTTTTCATTTTCATACTCTGTAATAGTAATTTTTTTAATAACGGCTTGTTTGCTGTGGATGGTTATAGATTCATTTCTACACTATCAAAAAGATGTTCCGGGGTGTAAGCCTTCAATGATGTACCCTTCGTATATAAAACAACATGGCTTTGATAGCGAACAGACTCGATTTTCTGGAAAATATGGACTTTATTTATATAGGGATACAAAATACGATCGTAATGATCAGGTATAAAATTTCAGTCCCATTAAGCATTTTACGAAAATAAAAGCAATTAATTTTTTATTTTTTTTTTTTTCGAATAATATCCATAGCCTACAGGAATTCCAGCACTTTTTATTCCCGGTAACGCTGGTAGTTACAAACAAGTTCGTTCGATAGCTTCTGAGACGTCGGAACTGTACTATGATACATTTTTAAAGGAATTCGACTCGCAGAACAGTGGTGTAAGACCAATTGACTTTTTTACAGGTTTGTGTGTATATGTGTATTATTTAAGAATATTTTATAAGTTAATTTCTCATTGAATATATCCTTGACAATTTAGTCGATTTCAATGAAGAGTTTTCTGCTCTTCATGGACATTCTTTACTTGAACAAGCGGAATATCTAAATGATGCTATTAGATATATTTTATCTTTATACCCAGCAGCTAGGAAAAATCAACAAGCAGATTCATCAACACAACCACTTCCTGATCCTACTGCCGTAATTATTATTGGTCATTCGATGGGTGGTGTTGTTGCAAGAACGCTATTTACGATGCCAAATTATCAACCTGGGTCTATTAATACCATTTTAACAATGGCGACACCACATATATTACCACCGGCTCCATTTGATTGGCAAATTAGTAAAATTTATACCGACATTAATGATTTTTGGAGAAATGGTTATTCTCAAAGTGTAACACGACAGAACTCACTCGCAGACGTTACTTTAATCTCTATAGCTGGTGGGAATTTAGATACAGTAGTTTGTTCTGACTCCGCCAATATAAACACACTTGTTCCTGCGTCTCATGGTTTCACTGTTTTTACAACGTCTATACCTAATGTATGGACTTCAATGGACCATCAATGTATCTTATGGTGTAATCAGTTAGTTAAGGTAGTTGCAAAGTCTTTGTTAGGGATTGTTGACATAAGACGTGCTGGCCAAACAGAACCAAGTCAAAAAAGGATGACTGTATTTCGTAAAATTTTTTTGACCGGTCTTGAAGATCCAGTAGACTTTGATGTCAATATACCAAAGAGAGGTGAATTCTAGTGAAATCTATTTATCAACTATAATTTAAAATTTATTAACTTTGAATTTTGTGTTTGACAGATCCTTTTGGAATCATAAATTTTGGAAAGGATTCATATCAGTTTTTAGATATGGGGCAAAGACTTGTAATAAATGGTTCTGTTTCAGCGGCGAAAGCATATTTAATGCCAATACCACCGCCAGCACCGCATTCTACCTTGAACACATTCTCTTTTTTAACGGATCAATCTCTTTTAAAAGGCTCTGGTTTAGATATTCTTTTATGTGATGTGATGACAAAAGAAATCCCTGAACACAATAATAAAATAGATCTTTCTGTAAACGATTTAACATTACCAACTGCACCTAGGCTTTCATGCTATTCAGTATCTAATGAGGCGTCATTAGTACCCGCTTCGAGAAGTGATATTAAAAGTATTATACATGATAAATCTTTTAATTTTTTGAAACTTAAAGTTAAAGAATTGGGCGATTATCAATATATTGCAGTTGTGTTTTCAAAAGAACTCGTAAATGGTTTTTTAATTGGCGAGTTTTTTGATGAAAGAATCACATTAGCCGATATCAACACATCAATGAAAGGTTCTGGACTTATCTTTACTGTTAATTTTTGACCTTATAATTATTGCTTGCATCTATCTAATCTGCTGACCGCTTTTAACAGACCTTTTAATAGATGGTATTCATATTGACGCATTTCCTGAACACATTGCTTTATTGTCAATGTTACGAATTCCAGTTATCGACAGCAGTTTGTTAACTTATAAGATGTCTATCCGTCGCACCGGATGTGTTGGTAAAATGCCAATATTTACGTCAAATTATTATATATATATATAGATATATAATATTTTATTTCATATTGTTAACCTATTAAATACAAATTATTTTATTAGATCAACAAATATTTGCACCATTCTTAAGACAGTCTATATCTACAATGTACGAATCAAAGTTTATTGTTAATGTTGATGATTCAGATTTAAATATTCACGGACAAGCTCCATTTGTCACGCCGGTCAGTGCCCCTAATTCTAGGAGGGGACTAGAATTACAGTTCTGGATGGATCCTACCTGTTCTGCACCATTATCGTTAGATATTGAACTGGATTTATACGGTAGTTTGGGTAAAATAGTTATGAGGTTCCAAATGGTTGCGGCAGCATTTCCTTTCATTATTGTTGTAATGACATTGAGGGCTCAACTTAGAGAGTATGATCGTGGGGGTAAGAGCTTTTATATTTTACGCATCTTGTAATTATCTAAATTTAACGCATTTATCTTTTATAGGACCATTTTTGAGCTTTGGACACGGATTAGCACTTTTTATTCGCCAAACATTTCTTAAATTTCTTGTTATAGTGTCAATGCTATCAATTTATCAGTCCATCACCAAAGCTTCGAAAACATATTCATTAGTAGATTTATTTCCAATGGATTATGCACCAGGAGACATGCAAAAAGCCATTAAGGCCAAATCTTCATTCAATGTGAATGACACGCTTCTAGGAAATCAGGATCCATTTTTTTGGTTTCTTCCACCAATGTTTTTTATTATGAGTGTTGGAATAACAACTTTGTGTTGGTTTATACTGAGTGTTATTGTGAGAATTTTGACGTTTGCTGTGGTTTTTATTAATCGCCGAGCAAAATGTGTGATACGTTTAGTAAACAGGTATGCTTATATTTGTATTAATTTTTTTTTTTTTTTTTTTTTGGAGGGATGGTTTCTAAATAAATCAAATATCTTTTGCTAAGGCCTTCAGAAACTAAAGCGTCTATACTGCTTCGTCGCGCAGTAACCACAATAATACTGTTTATTTTGGTTGCATCTTTTGTACCATATCAATTTGCCTACATAGTTGCCTTTTTTGTTCACTTTGTGTCATGTGTGCGGTCCTTAGCTGTTGCTAGCTATGGGGTATGTGTTCTTTTATTTATTATTTATTTATTTTTTTAAAAAAAACTTTTAGCATCTTATAACGCGTACAATTATTATTGTTATTATTTTTTTTGCATTTAGCATAAATCTTTAAATACACAAGAAAGCTGGGATCGCTACCATTATTTACAGTCAATACTTGTTCTTTTGTTCATGCTTTTACCGCTTAATTTACCTGTATTGATGGTTTGGATACGAAATATGTCAGTTCATTGGTTTGCACCATTTTCATGGGATCACAGTATAATGGCAATAGCCCCGGTTATATTTTATGTTGAAATTATAACCAGTGGTAAAATGTTACCAAGATCCACCGGCAGGTAAGAAGGATATAAGTTCATTATCATTCAAACAAATATTTTCCTAATGTAACTTTTTTAATTTTCATAGAAACTCTCGAGCAATTACCAGTTTTATTCTTTTTTTAATAACAGTATATGCTTTGTTATATGGAGTACGATATACATATTTACTTTATTTTTCATCACTTGGGTTTTTATCATGGCTTATATTACTTCATATTAGAGAATCATTACGGGTGGGTAAAACGATGGTCGTTTATTTTCAAAATATATTTAAATTTAATAAGAAACGATCATAACAATTATTTTATTTATTTTTTAACAATTCGAATAATGAGGAAAAAAGATTATTAGACTCAAAGGATTTTTATAATAATAGAGTAAATTATTCTAATCTGGAGGTTTAGGCACTTTCTATCTTATATCAATATAAAATTTTATAATATTTATTGAATTCCTGGTACAAGATCCTAAACCTCTGGTTTATTTAGGGACACTTCTTGATAAACTTTGAAAACATTGTCTTAAATGGTTATGGTTTTTTTAATGGTGGGGCAATTGGACAAACCGCAACATTATTTATTGACAAAATTGGTTGGTCAATTATCTATTACTAATTAAGTTTAGTATAAAAAAAATTCTAGTTTTCTACATCTAACAATAATTTCTACTTTACATACGCACTCCATTACTTCCGTGTAACGATAGACACCATTAATTTCTATAAGCATTTCATACTTTTTTTTTATTTCTAATAATTTTGTTTATAAATATATACATCCTAATAATTTAGTCAACAATTTTTTAATAAAATTAATGAGATTGTAAATCAAATATATATATATATTATATATCGATATATTTATACGTATTAATATTATACGTAATATGCACATTAAATGATTTACTACAATATCTGTGCACCATATAAGCGCGTTATTTCGGGTATGCCCATATGCGTTATTTCGAAATAAGGGATGAACCGGTATAAAATGAAATTAAAATAGTAAATAGTTGAATTTATTTAGTATCCACCGAGGTGATGTGTTCCGCAAAAAAGATCTTAACGAATCCGGTCTTTTTAATGGGTATGAATGTAGCATTTTACAAAGGATACCCGAACTAAAACTGCATATAATTAATACGGAAAACACACTACCGCTACTGGCAACAAGCACCTCTTATCTCTCAAAGCAAGTAGCAATCTTTCAAACTCACTGCATAAATCGGATCCGGATCCAAATTGACGGTTTTTGGAAGGCCTGCTACTAGACGCCTGTGAGAGACACGTGGAACCAATCGCCGGTAGTGTATTTTCCATATTAATATATGCAATTTCTGGTACCCTAACCGTTAAAAATATTGGGAAACACTAGTGAAATTCACCACAATCGTAATTACTGTCAAATGATCTATAAAAAATTTTACACAAATTTTAAAGCTAAAATTAAATGGTGAAATTCTATAGAAAATTTTACTCAAATTTTAAAACTAAAATTAACTTTAGGTTTAAGGCTTAAGGTGCTGACAATTTTTACTTAATAACAAAATATATACCGATTATCAAAGCCGTTTTTTGAGAGACAACATACCCTGTGAATGAGCTATTTTCACCATAGATTTTGCGTAGATTTTTGCATTCGTACCATAGATTTTTGTATGTAGATAACCTCAAAAAGTGATATAGTTGGAACAAAATATACATTCACAGTTTGAATAGCAAAAATCTATTGTGCGAATAGTAGTACTCTAAAATAAAAACCCGTGAATTTTATAATTACCGGTTATTAAAATTGTGGCCCTAGTTTTAAAGCTACTGTATGTTAATTCTATGTATAATCTATAAAGTTTATATATAATAAATTATCATAATTTATATCTAAATAAATCGAATACTCATATACATAGAATTATCGTAGCTTTAAAGCTATATAAAATTTACGAGCTTTTACTTTAAAAATCAATATTTTAAAAGTAAATTAAAAAAGTAAATGATAATTTAGCAGCATAAGTCATGTTAATTGTACATCTAATTCACAAGTCAGAAAATTAAATTTGTTTATGTAGAACAAAGTTCAAAAATCTTACATAATGCATCGATTATATGTCTAATCTTCGAATTGGATATAACTAAATTTTATATTATATAGTTCAGTAAAGAAAATGCATCATAATAATTTTCTAAAATAATGTGCCATTTTTTTTCAAAACCATCTGTACATTCAATTTCAAAATATTACCACAATGTTTGACTTTACATAATATTTCGTGCTTTCTTCGATGATACCTCTGCTGGAGTAATTTTCATGAAATGTTTTGATTTTTCCCTAACTATTGCACTTAACTTTTGTTTGTTTATACCAGGTTCCGGTTCCGCTGTTTCTGTGTTACTTTCCCAGCCTTAAAAAAGAAAAAAGAAATTTTTTAAATGATATCCAGATAAAATAAATTCAAAAAAAAAAAAAAAAAACCTGGTAATGTATCAAGTATCTTCCTCTGTTCAGGTGGAACACGGCGCCACTCCGGATTATAATAATTTTTTGCCCATCCCCATTAAAACATAAAACAATGATCTTCAGCACGTGATATTATATCAGAAATTAAGCTACAAGTTAAAATTTCAACAAGTACCCCCCACCCAGGATGAGAAAATGGATAAAGTTTTTTATATCGTCTCCTTAACGCGACTTTAACATCATTATCTTCTCGAACATCCATTAATCGAAGATCTTCGAGTCCATCAGAAATATTAGTCGAATATCTGAATCTTTCGATGTTTAAAAAACAGTCGTAACCGAGAGGTTTTATAGAGGCATCTTTTATAAATCGAAACGAGGATTCGCAAATTATGATATGTGAACCCTTTATTGAAATTATAGGCGATTTTTTTTCACTTGGATCGAATTTGTATGTTAACGTGCACAAGAAAGAAATTTAAAATAAATCCGCAAGTTACAAAATCTTTTTTCTATAAAAGATAAGGAATCCAAAATTATACATATATTGTTAAAAAAAAAAATACCTTGCAAATTTTTTAATACATTCTTCGCTAAAGAAACATCGAATGTAACATTGTTTATCATGGATTTTGGCACAGGTTTTTTCTTTCAAATTATCTGTTTCCAATCGAACTGTTAAAAACTAAAAAAAAAAAAATTATCGCCTTTAGCGCGCTTATTCTTTAAACCTACGTAGATCCAGGACATTAAATATTGCTTACAAGAGCATACCTCAAATATCTGTGCTCTTATAGGCTTTTTGACAGGTTCATCAATATCATTCAGATAATTTAATAACTTTTGTTTTATCCATTGTTTATGTAAGAAACCTGACATGATACATAAAATAGAAACTTTATGAAGTAATTCGTAAAATGGCTGGGGAAAACGCCACCTGTGTGTATATACGATTGAAAGACCAATCATACCATTCCTTAAACGGTCATACAAACCACATAAAAAAAAAAAAAAAAAGTAAACAATCCTCGCGAATGCCGCAAAGTCGGAGTTTAAATCGTTATCCTCGTGATCTCTCGATGAAAATGCTTTTATTAATTTCTAGTTTTTTTGATTGAAATAAAATACAATGGTAAATAATATAAAATTTTGAAATTTTTTAATGCAATAAATGTAGTATCATATTGTCGCGAAATAACGGGCATGGGCATTATTTAGAATAATGGCCGAATTAAGTTTAATTTAGGCCGAAATTCGTAATTTAACCCTGCGCGTTATTTCGCGAAAATACAGTAATTAAATACACTACCTTACGCACTCGTCAAACCTCGATATAATCACCGGTTTGTAACAAAAATTCAATGTAACTAAGGTGATAATGTCTAATTTTCTTATGCTTTATAATAAGGCCGTTTATTACGTAATTTTTAGCAATTTATCACGTCTATATATTGAATATAAACCTTATGATTGGTTACTGATTTTATCACCTGTGGGGAGGAGGTGTAG